TCCTTTGGTTCAAACAGTCTTATATTCCCATCAGGTGGTCAAAAAAGGTACTACACTCCAAACAAATCAACATTTCTTCTAAAATTTGACAATTATTGTTAAATTTCAAACAATATTATCGTTTATCGCAATCATTTCTGAGACAATCGCCCAGCAAAATCTGTTATTGTGACAGGCCTAACGTCATCTAGATGTGTTCAGAGGCCTTAATGGAAATTAGAAATGAACTAACTTTTGTTTGCTACAGTCTTTCTCTGACTAATCCATGCTACTAGTGATGTGCTCTGAAGACCAGACAGAGAAAACATAAAATCATTTGCTCCATTACCAAGGCTCCTTCACACTGGTTGATAACAAAAAGTTGAGGGTCATTCCAGGATCTTTGTGTGGGTTTCAGCTGTGTATTAAGAGCAAAGTGAAAGAGCAGGTCCAAAATGGATTTGAACACACACAGTTTCAAAAGCAAGGTTGTGGTGGTTTGCATCATGGTGGCATCAGGGTCCCGAATGGTGGGGCCAGTGGTGGGAATGTATTCACGCTGTGTGGTCAAGTACACTTGCGTTATTTGGTCATTGAGAATTTGAAGCAGAACTGGCCACACTGTCCCTAGACTATAACAATGATTATGACAAGCTCGTGGGAACAACCGAGCACAGACGTGATACCTGCAAAGGTAGCATCATGCTAACCTGGCATAGCTGTGTCCTGATGACTTCACTCAACCAGTTTGTCTCTCACCTCTATAGATCTTGACATTTTCCACTCAAATCTCCCTGGAGAGCAAAGTCCAAACTCTCATGGACTCCACTGTATCTGTGTTCAGGACTTCTTCAGAAACAGAAATGAGGAGTTTGACTTGTCATATATGAAATAATAAACTCTACAGAAACGAAGCCATTGACGTGCGACAACCAGATGTTTCTGTCACTTTTGAGTCAGACTATTTTTCAATACATCTTTTAGATTTTACACAGAATAGCACTTTGAGATCCATTGTGGATGTAAAGTACATTATAAATAAAAGTTATTATTATTGGTATTATAGAAGGCTGTTTGAGGCTTACTTTTTAGGCTTTGTTGTTGTTGGTTCTTAAAACATGCTGTCAGGGAGTGACACACACGTGTGGTTACCATGGTGACCCTAAGGATTCACAAGTAGCTGCTTTAACATTAGATTATTCCAAATGTAATTCCTAAAATACTCTACAAAAGAAAGATGATTCATATTGAAATATCTGCAATAACTTCCTTTTGTTCTAGTGCACAGTCATTACAGCCGTCTAAAGGTGAAGATAGAGTACTGGTTTTACTTCTGTCTGTGTGTGTTTGTTGTTTATTAACAAAAGATCTCAAGAAGCAGTGGACAGATTTTAATGAAACAGAACGTAATCATTGGATGAACATCCAGTTAATCAGCTAAACACAAAAAGGCAATAATTCAGACGGTTTTTACAGATACTGAGCTAAAATGTTGTGTTGTAGCATCCTCCTCCTCCTCGCATACTCGGGAGCATCCTCCTCCTCCTCGCATACTCGGGAGCATCCTCCTCCTCCTCGCATACTCGGGAGCATCCTCCTCCTCCTCCTCACATACTCGGGAGCATCCTCCTCCTCCTCGCATACTCGGGAGCATCCTCCTCCTCCTCCTCACATACTCGGGAGCATCCTCCTCCTCCTCACATACTCGGGAGCATCCTCCTCCTCCTCACATACTCGGGAGAATCCTCCTCCTCGCATACTCGGAGCATCCTCCTCCTCACATACTCGGGAGAATCCTCCTCCTCACATACTTGGAGCACTACACATTGTGCAGTATTTTTTGTTACAACTTTGTCAATAACTGTTGTCGTCAATTCTTTCCATCCGTTAGCAAAATTGTTGATCCTAATCTCCAACTGATTTAAATTAGATGTGTTGGAGCAGAGAAACATCTAAAATGTGCAGGATAGTGGCAAAGTTGGCCGGCACACCTAAGTGACATCAGCCTACACAAACTGATATTGTTCTAAATTTCCTGTGAAAGTAACTGATAGTAATCACCATGATATACTCTGAGCACTAACACACGTCACAAGATCATCTGTACTGTCATATACAAGGTTTGACCAAAATATCTTTAACTCTGTTCCTTCTTAGTGTTATAAAATTACCTTAGTTTAAAACTCTGGCTGTACGGCAGTGGTGGATAAACAGACAATAATGTACTCTAGTAAAAGTAGAAGTACCACATTAATGTTTTTTTACTTAAGTAAATGTAAATGAGTACTTGCTTTTAAAAATACTTAAAGTATAAAAAGTAAAAGTACTTGCTGAATGTATTACCTAATGCAATGGTCTATAATATCATTAAGTGTACCTACCATATGTATATTTTCTGTAATACATTAATAGTGTTGTTTTAATGAACAATGCTGCAGATAATACATGTTTTTATTGTGTTTACTCTGTGACACATTTCACGACTTGTGATTCTGTGCGTCAGAATTTCAGGGATGACCTGCAGAGTTAAATAACATTAAGCAAAATAAGAAAGAGGAATGATTATACCTTTGATAGTTTTTATTTGACAGCAGTAAACACATTTAAGTAAAAGTTGTCTGCCTGAACAAAAGGGGCATTAGACACAACTCACAAAGAAATAGACACTGATCAGTTCAACTCCTGTTTGTCATCAACTCTAGTTAAAATACTTTCTAGTCAACCTTGTGATGGGTCAATAGTGAACAATAGTTTAACTTCCTGACACCATTTTCAAAACTTGGACCCGAGTGTCGAGACATTTGGGACATCTCTTGTCTCCTAACATCATGAACTGACACATTTTAATATTGCAGCAAGAATTTCTTGTTCAAGTTCAGAAGAAGTTGGTTTTTAACGTTTTTTGAGTTCAGTCTGGCTCTTTTGTGAGAAAATCTGTCCTGCTGTACTGAACAGTCTTTCAATATTCTTTCAATAGTCTTTCAATAATCTTTCAATAGTCTTTCAATAGTCTTTCAATAATCTTTCAATAATCTTTCAATAGTCTTTCA